TTTCAAGCTGATTTATTTAGAATCAATTCATTAATTGAAAAGATGATAATGGAAAATCAATAAGCAAAAGATTTTATATGAGGGTAAGTTAAAGGATAGTCGGATCATACAAAAAGTTAAAATGAATAGTAAGTGATTTTTAAGACACTTTAGCATTAAATTTTTGTTAAGAATTGATTGTAAAGCTGCAAAAATCTGTTTTTACAAAAAGATGTACAAAATCTTGCTTCTAAACATACATTTGCTAGATGGAAGCTATTTTATCTATTTTTGATTTTGATATAGAATATGTCAAAGGGAGCTCAAACTGTGTTCCGGATTTTCTTACAGAGAATTCTTGCAGGGAAAGATAGATAAATGCCATGAAAAAAGGAAGCCGACATTTCAGATCCTCCAAACCTGCTCTCTCCTCCGTCGGAGGAAAAATATTACTGAAACAATACCCAAACAGTCTGATACAAATGTTGTTTCCAACAAACAAACATTGCAGTTGCCTCCAAAGCAACTCCCAAAAGGCGCAGCTGGCCCATATATATATATATATATATATATATATATATATTATATATATATATATATATATATTACACAACACACACACACACACACACACACACAAACTTCACTGTAATATATACGTATATATAAATTGTTATAGTATATGTTAGTGTGTGTATATATATATAACACACACACTTGGTGCTACTTTAACTACATATAACAGGATGTTATAGTACATTATATTGTATTCATTATTTGTATTGTAATTATTTTTAATATTCAAACGATGCATCTGAGTAGGTATAAGTCGATGAACAATATATAATATATCTATATTATATATATATATATATATATATATATTATATATATATATATGATAGGATATAAAACGCTTCGTTTGTACTACTTTAAATACATATATAGCATGTTAGAGTATATTTTAGTATTTCATCCCTTGTATTACAAACGTGTTAAAGGATTAAATTTATATTATTTAGATAGTAAAATATAAAGTGATTTTTAATTTTAACCAATGTTGACCTGAAAAAAGACCAACTTTGGTCGCTAATTATCCAGAAATTAAAATTAGCGACAAAGTTGGTTCGCTAATTATGCAGAAATTAAAATTGCGACCAAAGTTGGTCACTAAATTTAAATAAGATTTATTTATATTTATATATTATTTAATATAAATAATATAATTGTTATACGTTAGAACTGGTCCAGATTAGCGATCTATATTTATTTAATATTTTATAAAAAAAATTTAAATAATAATATAATTATTAAAATTTTATAACTGGGTAGATTAGCGACCAAAGTTGGTCTCTATCTGCTTCCCCTTCCGTAAGCGGACCAAACTTTGGTCGCTAACTTTGAATTATATTTATTTATATTTTATAAAAAAATTTAAATAATAATAATAATTATTAAAATTTATAACTGGGTAGATTAGCGACCAAAGTTGGTTTCTATCTGCTTCCCTTTCGTAAGCGACCAACTTTGGTCGCTAATTTAAATTGTATTTTATTTATATTTTTATAAATTTTTTTAAATAATAATATAAATTTACAATTTTATAAGTGGGTCCACTTTAGCGACAAAGTTGGTCGCTAATTTCAATAAGCAAGTCTGACTAGTCCGGTCAACCATTTTGACCACATTATCGACCAAAAGCGACCAACCTTGGTCGCTATGTATTTAGAATAATTATTTAATTATTTTCTCCAATTTAGGCGACCAACTTTGGTCGCTTTTCTTGACAGACCAATTTTGATCGCAAATTTGGTCGCTTTTTTCCATATTTCTAGTAGTGTTTGCTGAATGCTAACTTTCATTTTACTATGAGGGCTCGTCAAACTGATTGTCTATACCTGCAGGCATGAAATGAGCGTCCCCAAACAAAAGGACGTCAGTATGAATAATGTAACCGAGTATGTAAGGCGGAATTGGAACATAACAATAAGTCAACGTTAATTAAGGACATGGAAGAAACACGGAGTAAAAGGACAAACCTGTAAGTCTGGATAGCTCTATAAATCATTGAAATACTTATAATGTCATGCATATGCGTATGAATGTCATGTCGTGCATAGATACATGTGTTCATAACATCATCAAGCCTCTGAGGGCATCCATCATATCTTCTCGGGCACTGTCGGCAAATCATCAAATATAACCAGCTGATCAGGGTGGTGGTGCGTATAATAACGCCATAACCTTTCCCATATTCCCATATACATATTATATGTCATAACCTCATCACACCTCTAGGGCATCCCATCATATCATATGCACCACTGTGGGCAAATCATCAATGTTTACCAACTGATCAGGTGGTGGTGCGTATATAACGCCATAACCTTTCCCATATCCCATAATTCAAATTGCGTATGCAATTTGATCCCTGGCATAATAGCAACTGTTTGATGGCAAAATCTCATGTTATAGTGGAGCCTTTATACTGCTAGCTACACAGAGGCACAATCTCTTACCCTAAAAATGGTTGCATATGCGAAGTACAAACTATGAGAAATCCATCATAATCTACATGTGAGTGTGTCAAGTGTGAATTAGATAATTGTCCTTCAGTCAATAGCTTGATACGCATAAGGTCATGGAATTACACACGAGTGTCAAGTGTAATAGACATTGTTTTTCAGTCAATAGCTTGATACGCATAACGGCATAAGGTCATGAAATAACCATGATGAGCTACAAACAATAGTAAAATGCCTAACATGCCAAGATTGTTCGAATTTTCGGAGACTTGCTCCATTAGAACCCCAAGAGACTTCCTTTCGAAGTATTCTCTATGGAAAGGCACTATATCTTATTCTTAAGACGAAGTTTGCCACCCCGCTGCTTTAGTCTCAAACAGGGTGCAAATTGAGTGTACAAACTGACCAACTTAGCACACGACAAAAGTTAGCAGTAACAATAATAACACATATGCTTGGTCTCATGTTCCTCGACAATTCTCTTAGACAAGAACAGATCAGAATAAAGAAAACACATGAAATTGCAAACATCCTCCACCCTTGATGCTTGAATATTAGCCGAAGGGTGGTAGTAATTCCGTCTGTTTTGTCACAGTGAGGGCTTTTTACCTTCTTTTTACCCAAATAAAGACGTTTCATAAAAACATGATTAGAAAAGATTAAACAGAAATAACCTCTATCAAATTATGAATATGGAGATCCTAATACAACGAAGACAAGTTCTTTGCATTTAATAAATAATACAACTAAGTCAATATATTAACTTTGATGTGGAAAGAGTGACAAGTTTCTAACGTAAGGCACGCTGGAGAGATCATAGTACACAACCCGACACACACCAATGTAAAGCTGTGATACACCAACAAAAAAATATCAAAACCTACTCCTCTGTATCCCCAATTTATGCTTTATGCACATCATGAAAAACCTACGGCAAAAGAACTTCAAAAAACATAAAGATTCTGCACGATGACTCTCGGACACTTCAAACCACCCAGCGACAGAATGACAACCAACCTGCAAAAGATGAAACAACCAAAATATCAAGACGCCAAGCAGTGGAGGACAAACACATAATCATGTGCCTAGACGCATGTCCTTTTTCGCCACACACAGAAATAAAAGATTTGTTAACAGGTAATATCACGAAGCTTTTGGTTTTTACTGCGTTACTCCCCAAAGACACATAAATTCACAGGAAATTGGTCCATATCTTTCAGGGAATTGTTTTATCAATTATATGTGGCTAAATCTGGGGTGAACTTTTCTAGCCAGTAAACTTGAGGACATGTGTTATTTGGATTTTGGGCAGACAGCAGACTACCATACGCAACATCCTTCTTCCTTCATGCGAACCACAGGGAGCAGGAAGGAGGCAAAACTCATTTTTCCTTTCAGGGTAAAGCTGCACATAGAGCAGGGCTTCGCCAACAATTTTCAAAATAGAAAACTCTCCATGGTCTTTTCTGTTTCTTTCTGTTGCAAGGCATCAGCAATTACCACACGGCCCATTACACTGAGACGGAGTCCTCATTTTTTTTTTGCACAAATTTTATGAGCAAGTCCAGCCCTCTCAAAAGCTTATATTTTCACCTTCCTTCATCACTCATCTTTTTTGCGTTTTTTTCTTGCTGGCAAGGAGAGTGACTGTATTGTGGTCTCTATCAGTTTATTAAATATGTTCGCAAAAGTCACCTTATCGCAGCAAAAAAACATGCAGGCAGCATATTCCAAGAGATTCAGAGTATTTCTTAGAGAGGCGACCTAAAAAAATGCTTATACTACTACATTAACTTTAATCTGAAAACCTGAAAACTGTAAATCTGAATTCCACCAGACACACAGGAAAATAGGAAGTATAAATCTGATGCAAGATATCAATGTCACATAAACTCAATTCAATGTGATACCTGTGACCGTAAAAACGCTTGATTTCTGATGAAAGCAGTGTACTTCCTTGCCTACTTGTCTGCATGTACCCTCTTGGCCTTACGACGTGAATGGTGTGCATGGCCATTTCGGCTGGTTTCTTCACCTTTGTGCTGTAATAGATAATCAAAAAGCGGGGAATTCTGAGCCTCATTAAAAGAGTAAACCTTGCAGAAAAGGTAGATCACTGCGAATTTGCCAAACAAGGGACAAAAAAAAACTGTGCTAACCAGAAAATGGCAGACAAAAGTTTGAACAGTATTTAACTGGCAGAGCCAACACGCTGAGGCCTACATCATAAAATATCAGCAAGAACTTCAAGTATGAGATCATCAAATTGAATCAAAAAGAGAGGAGATGGCAAGACCATAGAATAGGAATAAAAGATACATACAGCAAACCAGACAAACTCCTTTGTTGCAAGAGGTCTTGTAAGCTCATGTTTCTTCAGTGTTTCGTCGACTGTGTCTTGCAGCTTCAAATGGCATGAAACATTGATTTAGAATTGATGCCAAGATAATTTAATGCTATAAGCAGCATAGGCATACTGGCAAAGACATTCAAGCAGCATAGGCATAATAGCAAAGACATTCGCTACTTCATAAGATACTTCCACCAGATCATTCAACTCGTAAAGATCAGAATGAGAAATATTATAATCGTTACCTCTTCCGCAAGAGTTTGAAAGCTACTCTTCTAGTCAATTTACATTCTTCTTTATCATCTTAAAAAGGTAAAGAGGAACAACACGACCAGCAGAGAAAAATGGACCATCATTGGCAGAGGCTAAACCACCAAATAGTCAGAACTTGGGGAATTGTTGGGAATACACACGGTAACTCAACCACTCTTCATGCACTGATTCCCAAGATTTCCCCAAGTTAATTTGGTTAATTTAATAAGCTAAAGCAAAATCATTCTTTAATAACAAAGACTCTTCCAACACTAAGAATACAGATGCAGCAAGACAGGCAGGGAATGTAACTTAAAGAGTCTACAGGATCTTTTTTTTTTTTGGGGGGGAGAATCGACTTTACAGGGATTATTGAAACTTGAATACACAATTAACTGATGCAGTAGTAAAATTACTGGAAAAAATTTACAAAGAGACTGACTGTATATCTTAATCCCAAATACACCTCTGTAAGATCTGAATACTCAGGGACTATCATATCAATTTATTTTCTCACACCTGATGATGGTATACTGTTGCAGACTCAAGGAACTTTCCATAATGATGAAACTGCCACATCTGTGTGTATGGCTTTAAGGCAAATACGGAACTTTCTCCACATGAGGTTTTGTAGGCAGTGCAACCTGATCAATGTATGGCTTTGCTGAATTTCTTAGTTCCTGGCAAAAAATTATGCTTTTTGTCACATTACATACAAATAAGCCGGGAAAACATGTAGTAGCAGTTATAAATTTGATGCATTTATGGCAAGAACATGAAACTATATTTTTATATTCTACCTACTCATGAGAGGATTAAAAATTATTGTTCATTTAAATGTACTCAACAAGGGATGTCACCTGAACATGGGGTTTCTGCTACTTCCTGAAACTTTTGACAATATGAGGAGTTATCGCGCCTTTAGATGTTTCATATAATTTCAATGTTTTAGTCTTTAGCAATTCGCGTGTTGGCTTGAGGTTAGTGGTGATCCACCATTGTTCCTTCACAGCTGGCATCCATTTCTACAAACAGTAGCGCGAGAAAATTACTAAGATCCTCTATCTTGATCTCAAATACAACAGGCAAACTAGCTTAAGGGATATAATAAATGTTTGCAGTTAGACAATTGTATGTACATCTGAAAAAGTAACGAAGAATCTTCCCCGTAGCTTGTCCCTTATTCTTGATTTTTCTCCTCCAGAATGTCAGATGACCATATATGCCATTTAGCAGACCGAGAACTCACCTCTTGGGAAGAATTTAAAGATACTCTACCATTTTTCCAATGTAAGGTACCACTTATTGCATTGTTAACAGGAAAATCTCAAAACTAGTCTAGCTTTAATGTCCAAGTACTTATTTCATGATTGGGTGAGTATGATGTTAGGTAAAAAAATGCCCATCATACGAACACCTATTAAGGTTTTTTGTTTTGGTGAATTATCTCAGCACACGAGATCAGAATTCACAGGAAGAAACAACAAGATTCTATAACTTCTTTATTAATTCTTCAAGACCAGGAACTTCCCAGATACATCTAGTTCTATCTTCGTCCGTGTTTGCTGCACCTTGATAAGTAGAGACATTAAATTAATCATACCCACCTATTGCAGATTACTTCTCTATATATTAAATACATGGGATGATGGGAAATAGATACAGAAAAGTGACATGACCACACAAAGGAAGTCACTGCTCTTTCTTCTTTTCAATTTCGTGACACTCAAACCATTTTGGACATTCAAAATATTCGACTCGTGCTATTTCTGTCCAACTTTAACAAACTTCCAAGAATAAGTCCATAAAATTAATCAACTTTCATGACTTGTACTTTATCAAACTAACTCTTTCAACCACTATTTTACTATTTTCTTCCACACACACACACACATATATGTCAAAATGAATCTTAAAAACTAAGTGCCCAACCAACGCCATCCAAATAAAATTGTGTGAATTCTTATCTGGAAGGTTATGGAAATACAAAACTAGACTAAATGAAGCAATAATAAGGCAATAAAAATCAGAATACTAAATGATGCAAAGCTGACGTTACTGTTTTGACTGTTTTACATGTGGCGCAGGCCCATACCTCAGCTTGGGCCTTCTTCTCAACTGCCTAAGAAGCACGTAAAAATGGTAAACAGGATAGAGTAGTAGATCAATCAAGCATCATTGTATAGTCGATAGTTTAAAAGGATATCCAATAGCAACAAGTGTATACCTTCTGTATCATTATGTCCATGGCAGTTTTCCCATGCTTCTTGCCAATGCTTCTCCAAAAGAGACTGAAATTCACAGCATAATCAGCACTCCATTTACAATAATGTTCAGTACAAACTTTTATGCTCAAAATACCTGGTAGTGACTCCAACGAACTGCCAGCCAACGTGGAAGCCACGCCCCATGCACCTGAGTTTTCAAAGAAAGGAAAAAAGAAGTTAGCATTTATATATAATGATTCATCATTCTACACCATAAAACGGCTGGAAAAGGGAAAAAGAACAAGGAAGCACAGCAAACAAAATAAGCACTAGCTATTTTCCTATCTAAAAATATAAGCATTAGTATTATAAAACACAAGCTGATGTTCTGTCTTTCCTTGCAAGACTTAACTTGACATGAAAAAAGTATCATACCAAATGAATGATGTAGAATGCAACATTGATCCTTTCTACTTTATGATAGGTTATGCAAGGTGCATGATAGGGGTGTGCATTCAATTTATCGACTCGATTTTGACCTTATCGATAATTACTTATTGATTATCGATCTGTACATATGCTTATCGTTATCGTTTCAATAAGGTTTTGATTTTTTCGATTTCGATTTATCGATTTTGGGCTTATCGAATCGGTTATCGATTACACCATAAGAAATTTGCGGAAAACCACGGAAAGTATATCGCTATAAAACACGCTAAACTAATATGGACCAAAAGAAGCTAAAATAAGACGAACACCGTTTATAACATAAAAATTGGGTCAACAAGCACATGCAACGAAACTAAAGCAAGGGATCAAATGTATGCCACCAACACTCCAACGGTATAAAAAAAATAAAAATACATCACCACGGCCAATTCTATTTTCCATTAATTGAACTTCATTCCCTTGAGCTTTAAGTATGATCATTCCTTAAATGTGGTAGATGAAATAATAGGGTTAGGGACTTAGGGTAAAGGAAAGGTATTAATAGAATAAGGGTAAAAAAAAATTAAAAAAATTTAAAAAAATTATTTTTTTTTTAGTATTTCTTATCGGTTTATCGATAAACCGAATAACCGAAGAGGACAAAATCGAAATCGAAATCGATAACTCGATAAGGAAAATTACGAAATCGAAATCGAAATCGATAAATCGAATAAACCGATAACAAATAATCGATTCGATTTATCGATAAACCGATTCGAATGCACACCCCTAGTGTAGGAAGCATATTTTACCACATGAAACAGATACTCACATTCGAAAAGATTCACAACTAAATCGCCATACGTCACCACTAATCAGACAACTTCCACATACCAGAACTCCAAAACCAAGCAAGACGGAAACAGAACGGGACCTAAGTTGCTCGGACTCAGGTGCGGGTATATGATACGGGGATGGATCCGAGTATCGGATTCGGCAAAATCGAAATTTTAAGAACCAGGGTACGGATACGGGTATGGATACGGGGGATTCGGCTACTAAAAATAGAGCTATAAATTATTATAAATTTTGAGAGATTATTCTGTGAAAAAACTTACATGAATATTGTAGAATTCAATCTTTCATTCTCCAAGATGGACATTATTCTTTTCATTTCCTAAATCTGTTTTATATTTTATTTTGAGAAATCAAAATCTCAATTTTTCTCCCAAATTGTCAATGGACTCTGGTCAAAGTGTCCGAAGTCAGTTGACCGAATCCAGGACGTATCCCGCTCCTGCTCCCGTCCCCGTCTACGAGACGGGGACGGCACCAAAATCGAAAGAGTCCGCGCAACTTAGACGGGGACCACAAAAACCACCTTTTCTCTTATATTAATGACGTGCGTGTTAAAAACCAACCGCACTTTTTATCTTCTTATTAGATTGTTTCTCACTTTAATGGTACAGTTTAGGGCTGGGCATATATCGGGTAAAACCGATAACCCGAACCGTTTAATTGTTTATCGGGTTACTGGGTAACGGTTCGGTAATGGTTTAGAATTTTTTCACTATTGGATTATCGGTTCGGGCCTCGATTTTCCAATTTTGTTAATGGGTTAACCGATAACCCAATAAGAATTAATAAAATTATGACTTTATCCTTAAGTATATACATATGCTAAGGCTCAGTTCATTCTCTCCTATCCTTTCTCACCCACACTCTTCAGTTTGCACATCTTCATTCTTTTCATAGACCTTACTAGTTACTCTAGCGTAAGTCTTTGTTATACATTCGGCTTTTAATTTCTGTAACAAAATTATCTTCATAAAGGGATTGCCTATTGGTTTTTCTTTTTTCAGGCATTTGACAAACAACATCCACTTTATTTTGGACTGTTTGAGGTCTTCAACGCTCGTGGAAGTGCAGGTATTGTGTGAAATATATTATCTAAATCAACTATTGTTGTTATTATATCGGAGGAGCACCTAATGCCTTGGAACATTTTGTGGGAATTGATGCAATTTGATAGTATTTATCCACTGTTTTTTTGGTGAAGCCTATAAGGATTAGAGGTAGTTGTTGTCTTGTTAACTTGAATTGAATTGTTAATACTATATGTTTGGACTTGTTAATTTTAAGGTGAAGTAGCTACTACTTTGTATTATTATTATTATTATTATATTATTATTTAATGTAATTTGACAATTGTTGTTGAAGAAACTAGTTACTATTCCAGTTGTGGCCACTGGACAAAACGCAGAAATGGGTAGTATACTGTATGTAAATTCTTCCCTTTTTTGCTCAACTCCAGTGAAATTGTCTTCTTTTTTTTCCTTAACTCTAGATTGAGTTATCTTATCGGGTAAACCGATAACCGAACCGATAATGATCGGTAACCGATTAACCGATACCCGATAACCGATATCTTATCGGTTCGGTTATCGGTTTTCAAATTTGTAAACCGATAACCGATATGCTAAACCAATAATATTCATAACCGACCTGAACCGACCGATGCCCACCCCTAGTAGTTGTAGACAAGCTCATGATAACCCGCAAAATTTGAAAAATTAGCTAAATTTCATATTACAATTTTTTTCCGCATGCTAACCATATATCAACAAAGAATCCAAAGACATTTCTTCAGATACCAATGATTTAAACAAAAAAAGACCATATTTTATTATACACCTAAAAGAAAGGGCAGACAAGTTGTAAAACTTTAGAGAATGCCATCTACCAATATATGCAGGACTGACTGCATTTTTTTTTCTCCCCGAAATTCATTTACAGGTTGCAAATAGACAACCACCAAACAAGACAGCAGCCACACATTTACAGCATCCACATTAATGCAAACACCAAAAGAAACCCACATATCCCTCAGGAATACCTGTCTCTTCGACCTGTTTGCCTTGTGTATTTATGATTGTTGTCATCCTTCCATATTTCTTCACTTAAGCAAATATCCACCCACTTACATGACGGCCATTCATCCTTTTAAACAAAATGGTTTAAGACCACATCTATCAACACATTTCTTTTTCCCTTTTAGCCCTCCAATATAAAAACCCAATGCAGCAATTAAAACCACCAGCTAAAGACCAGCATTCACCTCCACACCACTACCTTACTACTAAATCACCCCACATCCTGCTGTCCAAAAACTACTGATATCCCAGTTCCGCATACCAAGGCTGATACAAAAAGCTAACCATAAACTGGCATATCAACACTCGTAACATAGTATGAATGGTAAAGGCCAAATGCACCAGGATACTAGAAGAATCATTAACATGGAATCACCAGGATTTCTTCAGCTAGCTGAGAAACGAGATTGGAACCTCCTATTTTCAATAGTATTGTAGTCCCTGAATTACACATGATAAAAAAAGGGACATTAGAACATCTAACCTCCATTCAGACTCCTTCGCCCGATGTGGCTTTCAAACCTTGCTCTACCATCATTTCTCCTGAAGAAGCAAAATTTGAGAGGCTTTAGAAATTGTTATCCACCCACACAAGTTCACAACTTTTGAGCTGTTTTCTATCAAGAACACTCAAAGCAAGTTGAAGAGCTCGTTCAGTTTTTTGCAGTTTTCCTTTTCTGTCAAATCAATGGTCTTTTGAGCTGCATAAACCAAATAGAAACAAAAATCACTTCGTAATAGTTGGGCTGAAATATTGCCACGTAGCCACAAACTTAATGACCAGCAGCAAGAGCTAACAAATCTTTGTAGGACACACAAGAAAAGTCCATGGCAATTTTAAAGTTTGTTTAGCCAGCAGAAGGAAATAAATTCTGTGTAATTAAAAAGGACAGCTTAAATTCCCGGAACACTTCATGCATTTATTATAAGCTTCCACGTATCTTCAAGAACACAAGTCATCACGGCTTACTCCTGATAAAATTCTCATATGACCATCTCTCAGGGTACGAAGGGAGAAGAGCGGTTTTTTTTTTAGTGGAAAGGAGATAAGGGATCTGTCTTTCTAAACAAGGTTTTGCTTCCCATCTAAAATTAACATATGCAACTGCAGTCTGCACACACTTGAGGACTAAAAGCAAATAATTATAACTGAAACAAACCGAAGGCCTTCCAATTAAAGATAAGTACAATAATTTTGTTAGCTTTTTGTTCTTCATACCACCTTTTCGCATTTTCCAAAACATTCTTTATTTGTCGGACCAACCAGAATTTTTGACTGCTCTCCCAGCTTCTTCTTGTCCCAAACTATAATACTACAAAATCCTACTATATTCACTGTCTCTTGAGGAGGCAAAACATTCACTGGAATAAGACTCTCTAAATAGCTAGTTTTGGACTCAATTAATTTACAGCAATGCAAACTACAGGCATCTGTTTATCCTCTATATGACAAACATGAAGGTTGTTTCCTGAGGCACCCATTATGATCCTATGCTTACATTAGGCCTTCATTTTATCAACATTTTGATAATGTTGACTCCTTATTTTACCTTTCTTCACAAACATTATATTCACATTCCTTGCTATAAAGATTTCAGATCCTATCAAACTTCGAGAATCCTTTGTGGTTTTATGAAGCTCTTTTTGACAAAGGATCACTGCTTTATAAAAGGTCAAGAGCTTCTGCAGCCACTTCACCTTTCTTTTCTTTTTCTCTTTTCTTGATAAGTACCTTCACCTTTCTATGTTTCAGCTAACATGTTTAAGTCCTATGTCCATCTTTCCTATGAGCTCCACTATAGTGTAAATTGATAAAGAAACACTAGCAGGAAAGCATTTAGAAGTTGTTTCTTTTTTGTAATTTTCTGTTTGTTGCCAGTGATCGAACAATGTTAGATAGCTTCTAATAACTCTAGAATGATCGCAGGACAAACAGCTGTGACCAAGAACCAAAAATTAACATACATCAAACTGCTTTTTCCAATAACCTCTATTGAGTTTACTTGCTCCAGCGCTCGATTAAAACGGAACACTCATTAAATGACAAGCAAAATGTATCCCAAGGATCTTTTTTTTTTAAATTTAAAAAAAAAAGGATAATGCAGCTCCACCAATAATAGATTGTCTTTTTTTTCCTTTTTATCTTTTAATGCATAAAGGGACCTCCTAAACTTGGACAATGCATAAATGAAAGTTTCTTTAGTTTTAACCACACGACATATCTTAGTAGAAGGAGCATTACTTTTAGTCAACAAATTGTTATATGTTGCCAGCAGAGATCAGAAAGTGTTAACCTCTGTTTCTTCATTGCCCAGTCACTGCTGATATTTGGAAACTTCTCCTATCACACTTTTTGGTATAACTTGGATCATGCTCAACACATCAAGGAAGCCTATAATTTAGGGATTTTTTTTAGGAGTTGACAAAGCCATCAAAAAGAATATGGAGATGATCCCAAGAGTCATATTTTGGATTGTTTGGAAGGGAAGAAATGGAAGATGCCGTTGATGAATATCAACTCCAACACATTCCCTAAAAGCTAGATGTTTAAGTTAGTTTGTTCAGTTGGAACTTCTCTCCCCTGTTAATAGGTTGACATTTCTATTGGATGTTTTGTTAGCTCACTGGTTCTAGCATAAGGTACTCTTGTACTGGAGCGTAACAATGTTTTGCCTTTTGTACGGGAGCTAAACATATTTTGTGTTATTGTAATTTGGCATCTTTCCTGATTGCCCTTTCAATGATATTATCTTACTTCAATCCAAAAAAAAAAAGGAAGTTGTCTTTAATGCTTGTTGTTGAAAACTTTTGTAGTGAAATATTCCAATTGTTTAAAATATCTGCAGTAGGCGACTAACAAAGACCAAAGATAACACCACTTGCAAAAGAAAGCAAACGAAAGCAAATGAGCTACATTCTTTCATAAAAAAGATAAGCAGATCAAGAAGCTTACTTTGTCAACCGTCAAATTTAAACTCAGTGACTTTTTTCTCGGTTTCAACCTTTATGGGCTTCAAAGTCTTTTTTTCTTCCTTATTCTTCATTTCAACTTCCTCTTTAGTCTCTTCAACTTGGCTTTTCAAGGCTGATCAGCTCGTTGACGAAGCCTTTCCAACTTGCTCCTCAGCATCTAGTTTCCCTTATTCTAGAAAAACAATAAACTTAAGAGGTTACGAACTACATCAACACTGTTGAGACATTTTCATCAAACTAAAATTGCATTACAAAAGCCCAAACTTGCTAATTTGAGAGACTCACCTGTAGAGAAGCCAATTCAGTTTGACAATGAACTTAACCCTCTCTGGACTTCTTTTATTATCTTCTCCCCTGTCAGAATCACCTCATCCTTTCCTTTCAGGCTCGCACAGTCCTTCCCTCAATTGTTGATTCTTGAAGATAAAGAAACCCATTAGAAAGGAAAGAGAGACGGCTAGCAATCAATATTTTGTACTTTTATTTAAAATAAAATAAATGGGAGCACCCTACATTCCCAACACCCTCACAAAACTCACTGTTGCAGAATTATCTCACACAGAGAGAGAAAACAATATGAAATTTAACAGCCTAGTAGCTTGACAACAACAAAGCACAAAGTATGGAACAACTGCGGGAAATTAGGTCCGAATTTATTATCCTGTCTCATAATTTTATGGGTATGTTGAGAGTTATTTTTGGTTTGTGAATATTCAAATTTCATCTGCTCTTTTGCCAGATTACACCAAGATTTGTACCAGTTCACAACAGAGGAAGGTACTAAAATATTATCTCTAAATTTTCTGCAGTTCCCTAAACTGTATTCTCTATCTCTGGAAATCTTCGCTACCAAACCAAAAAAGTCACCATTTTTTTTAGGTCCAAGAACATAGGCGGCGCTTTTATTGTGCTTTCGAAATGTACAAGTTATCAAAACAAACTATGTTCATCTTTTGGATTGGCCTTCTATTGAGCTGCAACATAAAGTCTTGGTGAGTTGGAGAAATCTAACAAATTGGAGTCATGAGCTGTTCCTATTAGCAAAATCTAAAGGGACCTGTTTCTTTAACAAATTCACTGTGCTAAATAAACAAATAACTTTATTGCCAATGGAAAGTTTGTGTCCAACAAAGTTTTCAAAGAAATTGGACTCAATGAGAAATATAACTAATGTCGACAAGCTGAGAATTTTCAACTTCATATTATTCACGCTGATGGATTGAATGTGTATCTTCGGACCTAAAATAAGTTTTTCTCAACATTCAACCCACAAAGTCTTGAACTTTCACAAACTTTTTCCCCAAAAAAAAAACTAACAATATCAATATATAACTTCCAACTTCCACAAACTTCTTTTCAACTTTCCAGCTTCAAATAATTACTCCGACTTCCACGACTTCTTTTCAAACTTCAGTTCAAATAATTACTTTTCAATTCACTCAGACTTTGACCAAACGCATACTAGAAAGTACTTACATGGTCAGAGTAGGTAGGCACGCCTGCATAAGAAAAGAAGGCAAACAACGGAAAAGTCCAACTTAAGTTTCATTTCAAAGAATATATCGATGGCCATGAGACTCGTCAGTCCACGCTCTATTTAAAAATGTCCATCAACTGTATACCAAGAGCGCCACTTTTGTTTCTTTTCTTTAGGTGTGTGTGTGTTGGGGGGGAGGGGGGCATAAATCAAAGAAGCCACGGGAAATGGAAGCAAAAACATCATAGTTCACCATGAAATAGCCTCAAAGCAAAACACCAAGAAAACCAGAATGCTAAAAAAACTGTATAAAACCTCAAGCAGTAAAAGCAATTAGAAATCCTGCATTTATCCTCGCATTGTTACATGAGCGTGAATTTTTACATTCATTGTTCCTTATCCTCCAAATATAAAGAAAATCGAATGAAAAAAAAAGAACATAGTTAAATAGCTTACAGTTCTTTAGTTTCTATTTGACATACTCATTTCTACACCCTATTTGAACAATACAGATAACTTATCACAAAGTCAACAGAAATAATCCATCACCAAACACTCAACCTTTA